ATTTTGCTCTAATTCTATCCATGCACTGTTGTAACCGTCCTTCTGAATCCATTTGACTAAATATTGTAGCTGATTTGCCAAGTAGTACTGTTGGAAATTTGGTGCTTCTAGGCCACCTAGTGATTTCTTCTTTTGGAGTGTGGATAGAGAACTTTTGGGTTTCTTGTTTTTCCAATAAAATTGTTAAGTTATAGAATCAAGTGATTTCTGTGGGTGTCAGATAGTTAATTTGAGGTAGAGTTTTCATTTTGATTGTAGCTCTTCGACTGGTGAGTGAGAGAGGAAGATTGGACCAGCATTTGAAATCATATTCTATCTTTTTTAGCAGGGGGGTGTAGTTGAGATTTGTCAGGTTTGCCCGGCTGCACCTTCCTCTCTTCTCTCCTTCTCGCTCTAGTCTGCTCCTTCTCACTGATTCTCTTGATTGAACACACCTGTCCTGATTTTCTGACACTCTTCAGCTGCGCCTCCTTTGTCACTCCCTATTTATACTCGGCTTTTCCTTCACTCCCTTGCTGGTTCTTTCTATGTTGTTAGCCTGCGTTTCATATCAGATTATATCTTTTGTCTCCCGTTTCCACGTTTTGTTTCTTAAAGTCCTAGCGTCTCCTGTCACATTATCCTGGACCTCTCCTTTGGACCTTGGCTCCCTCAGCTCCACCAACCTCTTCCACAGGTCGATGCACAGTCTCCTCATTGATACTACTCTCTGCTACTCCTCAGTCACCCGGATCACCACCTTGACCAGTTCAGGAGTGTCGCTTTTCCTCGCCGCCCAACCTCATCACTTCATGGACAAAAACCCCTTCACTAATGCTGGTCATCACCCGGTGATATTTGTTCATTCATTCATTCGTTCTTGTTTGTTGTATATAGTATTGCACCCCTGTGTCCACATTGTAAATAAAGCCACCTATTGCACCGAAGCCAGCCGCCTGGGTCCGTTCTTTACTGCTCGCTCATTATTGTGTCGAGCGATCCTAACAGCATAAAATCCTTACCATTTTCACGTTTCTATAATTTTATGTTCTACAGGATTACCAACATACAGTAAAGTGTCCTCTATTTGACATTTCTCATCTGCTGTTCTTATTAAAAAAAGAAAACTTGTTAAATTCTTCTACCTAAATTCTTTCCAGGAAGAAGTATACTTTATGTAGTTTTCTGTAGTTCCTATTCCTACAATTGTAATATAAAAAATTTTAATGTTACTCACTGTACACTTCTGAGATATATCTGCAAGACCTGAATCTGGTCTGACCTATCAGCGAGTATAAAGACCTTCAAAATCTCATAATATCTACCTTCAGTTCTTCAACATTGGCAGCTCCTGTGTGTACAACATTGTGACTATGATACTGTAGCTTTTAATAAATTCTGTCGATATATGTTTTGATAAAAAAAGAAGAAATCCTAGCGATAAGTGTTGCAGTCTGCATCTTGCGAACTGATCTTTTCTTCTTTCCCAGCAGTGAACTTTGTGCTGTGTGTAGGAAATGCACAGTCCAAATCATCCCACTCACATGTAAGTGCAGTGAAATTCACAAAACACTAAACACAGATGTAAAAGAAAAACTCTGCATACAATGAAAATAGCATTCTGTCAGCACAAACACGCTGTTATAAAAGTAAAAACCAAAGTGCTGCTTATGCCCTTCTTTATTAAAACAAGCTGAGCAGAAGCCACCTTCCTGCTGCTGCCTTGTGTTTTGCTGAGGTGAACCTACCCTGGCGTCTGTGACTTTGAACTCTCTCAGGATGTACTGAGGCATGTTGTACTCAGCCATGGGGTCCACAACAAAGTACTGGTAGCGTGCAGAGCGCTCAGCGGGCCAGTACTGGTGGCACTTCTCCTACAGAATGGAGAGAGGAGATGTATCACAGCGTATGGTGCTCCAAGTTTTAATTGTGGTAATTTTAAATAAATCTTATTTTACATGGCCATTTCGTTCTGTTAGCCTTGACTAAGTGAGACAGATGTCCATTTTATGCATTATTTCTATGTGATACATGTACACGAGTAAATGGAGTACACAGAGACATCAGGACTCTTAAATTTAATCCTAATTAAAGCCTAAAACATACTCTTTTAAAACCATGTAATCTATGAAATATAGATGGCAGAAATACCTTGAATTGTTTGAGTCAATAGAAGGCAGTGCACAACACACAGCCAACTATTGACTAGAAATATAAGTTTATACATGTTGTTTATATGTTGTTTATACAGTGTGTAAGTTGTTTATAGAACAATTTAGAAACTGGACACGGATTCATGAAATATAATCCCATCCCTTGCCTGAATGTTTATCCAGAAATGACTCTGAAAAGACCTTCTATGCTTTCATCTCAAGCCTGTTGAACTATTGTAATGCCCTTTACTAGGCACTAATCAGTCTTCATGTTTGCAGCTCATTCAAAATGCTGCAGCTCGGCTTGGGAGATGGGATAATATTACACCTATCTTGACATTTCTCCATTGGCTCCCTGTGTACTTCGGGACACACAGTTTGTACCCTCAGTACATAGCTAACCTTTTAACAACCTATACTCCCACACAATCTCTCCGGTCGGCTGATCAGGCTGTCCTGGTGGCCCCCCAAACAAAGCTGGAGAGTAGGGGTGACTGTGCCCTTTCATCAGTAGCCCCCAGGCTTTGGTATGAGCTTCCTCTACATGTTGGATCCTTCGATGACTTTCTAAATCTTATTTGAAGACTCACTTTTGTTCCTCAGCCTTTGCATGAGGGTTTTTAAGTTTTTAATCTCCCATAGTGTGTTTAATTCTGTCTTCTACTTTTATCTTTTCATTTTATGATGGTATGCGTCATTTCATACAGCACTTTGGTCAACTCTACATTGTTTTAAATGTGTTTTACAAATACATTTAGATTTGTTTCTGAATAAGTGTATTTATATGAAATAGCAAGCAGCCAAGTTGCTGGACTGTAGCTCTCTGGTACAACCTGGTGAAATGTGACTGGTGGCATGTCATTCTTTTGGATTTAGCTAATGACATGACACAAGGCATGATTGTGATGTGTTACCCGTCCCATCTCGCGGAGTTTGGTGAGCATGACAACAATGGTGGAGCTGTGTTCCCACAGCATTCTCCAGAAGTCCTCTGTGGTCTCAGCTAATGGGCCCTGGGTGGCCATGTACGCTTTCTGCTGCCTGCAAATTGGAACAGAGACATGTCTGTGCTCACTCCTCAGGGTTCTGGCAGCATCGCTCTTATTTGGATTCCATTTCAATCTTCTTGCTTTTCAGCCCTAGCTGTGGTTCTAGTGCAAATTTTTATTTTTCTGTAATAAAAATAAATGTGATGAGAGAGAAATAATGCTGTGGTAAGTTGTTAGCTTATACTGGTCATAATAAACAGCCATCAAAAAGCTTTAACAAACTGCTGTTTAGTTTGTTTTGCCAGGCTGTGATTGGATGTACTTTGTTTGTGGACATGCATGACAGGAGGAACAAGCTCAATGATTTTTACAAAGAAGCATAAAACCTTTCTTTATTCACTGATTTCTGTTAAATTACATTTAGTGCTTCTTCTTTATGATTTAATTTCTATTCTTATGTTTATTCTATAAAATAAAATGCAAATAAAATACATCCTTCGTCCTCTACAACAAAAGCATAGAACCCGCATTAAGGTCTTTACCCCATTAACCGATTAACCGATAACACTTTGTCCATAGTCTCACTGTGGGCTTCGGGGCCCGTTGGAGCTGTGGATCCAAGGACGCTTTACCTACTTTGCCCAGCTGGTTTTTGAATATGTACACTGAAAATCAAGCTAAAATCTTATTTAAAGAGCTTCAACTCTTGCTTGTTATCTTAAAATATGCATTCTTTAATATACAGCCCATCTACATATGGGGCACATTAAGGATTACTGCCAACATATTTAAAGTATGTGAGCCTGCAGTAATAGTGCAAAAATAAACTGAAGTGGTTCAGTTTTGCTGGATTACCCAGCACCACATACCTTTAACAGGTTCAGACAACAGCATCCCACAACTGCTGAATGAACCTCTCAGGTGTTAAATATTTAATTTTACACACCCCCTTAAAGTAAATTTGATGAGCCAGCTGCCATGAATGTGTGTACTGATATTTAAATAGTTTTGCCTGAACACAGACCCTTTTAACAGCACTGATAAAGTGGCAGATGCCAGCCCAGCTGCTCAGCCAGGCTCTGGGCAATCCATTGGAGTAGGCAGACAACACCGCCACAAGGGGGCAGTGTTAAGCCATGCAGCACACAAGCCTGTGCACCTGAGTGTTAGAGCAGCACAGCACACATACTGAGCATTTCTGCTATTTGCATACATCTGTGCTGTGTTATTTGTGTGTGCCATCGGTGGTTGTAGGCACTGTCGTTTCTGGTTGCGTGTCTGCCCCTGTTCTGCTCTTAGCTTCATCTCTGAAACAGTCACTGGAACTATTATTTGAATGCATTATAATACAACAACCAAATGGGAACCAAAGCTGATGTGATTTTTGGCACTTGAGAGCCTCTAGCAGTGCATTCTATATATCTGCTGGCTGTCCTGGCTCACAACGACTGAGCAGTTATAGGATATTTGACCAGTAGAGAGGATTCTGGATGAGTTTGTTTAAGGGCAGATGTGCAAAACTTGCATATGAGAATTGCATCATTACTGACCTCTGTGCAATTAAGTAAAATAATAGTTTGGCTACTAATGAGCAACTATCACTTTAAACAGTTTAACCAACTATTCTTACTGTACAATTATACTGATTGATCAAAAATATTCTACTAAAGCGCAAAGCTGGTTTTATTCTCTTTTTGTTTTTAATTGTTTGGGGGCAATAATGGAGCTCTATGCACAGAGGAATAATATATAGTAGCAGCCTTACACACACACAGACATACACAATACTTCTTAGCAATATACAGTACATTTACTGTTGGTTGGCTGATTACTGAGACCGATTAACAATAAGAAAAATACAGAATAGAGTAACTTGTTTAGTGTTTACTGTATGGGTACCCATATTCAACTGATGTCACATAAAGACCTGGTGACTGATCAGAGACACCCCTCCAGGTTAAAAGGGTGGCTTATTCTATCTTTCTGACAAAGGGGGTAGGAACACCACTTATAAGCAGCACAAGATTACACATCAGCGCATTTCCATGGAATCTTGGATAAAGCATAATTCCAGTTTTACATCTAATTCCCAAAGTTTTGGTCACAATTCCTGTTAAAATGCGGCCGTAGTCATCATCATACTCATCTTACAAAGTTAATTGCTAAGATTTACACAACAACATCACTAAAAAGGCTGATGAGTTCGGACCTGTCATGAGACAATGGGCCACCAGACATGTGAAGGCTCTTCCCTTCAGAGCAGTAGGAGCTGTTTGGCATCACTTCCAGCAACATTTTCATGTCCCTGTTCAACTTTAACCATCTATACTTAACGCAGTTGTGTACACACAATTTTTTATGTACAGTGGGAGATTATTAGCATCGTTTCAGGTCTCACTTTCACTTTGACCTTCTAATGATGGTTTAGATAATCTGGATAAACTGACAAACTATAGAAGCAATGACAAAACCCCCAAATATACTAAATACAGCAAGTGGTTTGAACAGGGAGTTAATTCTATAGAATGAGGCTGCTGTCTGGCTTTCTGTCTCACACCCCTGGGCACAGATACTGAGGTGAATGACTACGACTGTTGGAGGACACGGGACACCTGCTGGAGCTCCCTGTATCTCACTCCACTTTAATTACTGCAACAGGAATTAGAGAAGAATTACAGCACACCCCTGCCTCCCTCCCCAACCCCTCTTACGTGGGTGTACCCAGGGGGCTTCATTAGGCGCTGATAGTTAAGAACAAGTAACGCCTACCCCCTCTGTAAGAAAAAGTCCTAATTTATTAGCCTCTGCTTTAGCCTGCTAGTACACTGAATATTTCCAATTAGTGTTTTCTTTCCTTAATAAAAGCTATGCTTCTCTGAGAGGCCTGTAATTGGCTGTTTATTCAACACAGAACAATAGTGGTGCTGACGTCTAATATGTACATATATATTTATAGAGCTGTCTCATACACACAGAAGCACACACTCCAACATAAAACTGAAGTTTACTTAGGCAGAGGTCTATTTACATGATCATTTGTTTTTGAAGACAATTAAATCTTAAAGGATGTTTTTTTTTCAACACATCTGAAGTGTGGCCCAAACCCACAATCAATATATCCTACTAAAAGTATTCCAGTTTCCAGATTATTAAAACACAGCAGAGGGCAACGCTGTTGCACTGGGTGACATGTTCCTTCACTGTCATGAACATACACTCTGTAGTTTATTTTGATGGCTGCTCACCACTGCTGTGATTTCTGATGAGGTCGGACAGTGCGTCGTACAAACTAGTTCATTTCTTTAGCATACCCCAACCTTGACTGTGCACTGTTTCCTGGCTGTCACACTGAAGTTGGCAGGTTTGGTTCCCTTTTGTCTGTACAGAGACCAAAACTAAAACTTACTTGGTACTACTTACTAGTGCTCAGTCTATCTGCCAACCTGTCCTATAGGCAGAGACACTGCACAAATGTACTGGGTGAATGGATACATGTCAAAGAACCACTCCTGTACATGACAAGGTTCAGGCTTCTTGTCATTTCCATACATATAGAGGAAATGAAATAATGTTCCTCATGGGCCTCAGGGCACCAGAGCACAGGTATCTGAATATCACACAATCATAAGGAAAAAATGAGCAGCAACAAATGGATGTAAACAAGGCCCACTTGTAGCAAACTTGAAATGCTGGTGGAATTTTGGCAAAGTTTTTAGATAAAAAAATCAGTCATGTGCTGTTTGTTGACCAGTGATGCTGCTGTACCACCTTCTGAGGTAGAGAGCAGCAGTGAACTCCCAACTGCACATTAGCTGGCACCAGGCCAGAAATGTAATAATTTGAAGGGCAAGTCCATTTGGCCTTTAATTCCATACATTATCAGAGGGTGCAAAGGCCACTTGACTGGGCACTAAGGCTGACAGACAAATGACATGTCGTAGGCTGTGTGCTGTATGTGCAAATGTATGAAACCTGTGCAGTAATGTTACAGACTATGGTTTGGTGGACATGTTCACAATCTACATACAAGATATAGGTTTAAATTAAAGTGCAGATGATTAAAGAACTGTTTAAGGTAATTATGCAGAGATATGTCACACCATTGCATTGGCACTAGTAGTAACTGTGCACCTTTATTAAAATTTGGATAACATGGCTCTTAACACCTGGTCCAGATGTCAGTCTGCTGATGTTGCATAAGATTAAGAGGAATCATGGATGTATGAAGGAGAAAATTGAGAAAAGGACTTCTAATTTCTTTTAATTACTCTAACGAGTGTAATAATTTTATTCTTCTCCCATCATGATCAGCAAAAATGCCCAGCATCGTTTCTGACAAAGTTAAAACTAAAATAAATGTTACTGTATATTGCCCATTAGACTTTTTGCTTTGTTTTTATTTAAAACTATACTAAAAGTTACTGTGACACAAATTCTCTGATTTTATGTACAATTTAAGCTTTTCCTTTATACACACTGCACAGTAAATAACATGTTAATTA